GTCACCAATTGTTTCTGTCCATTTAGCAGGGGTCCTATTCCTCCCTGGGCCTTCCTTTTACTCCCAATATATCTAAAAAACAATTTCTTGTTGTCTTTTACTTGGGTTGCCATCCTCAGCTCCGTGGCAGCTTTGGCCCGTCTAACTGCCTCCCTACAAGCCCGAGCAGAGGAGGTATATTCATCTTTGGTGATCTCTCCCTGTTTCCACTCTTTATGTGCTCCCCTTTTGGCCCTTAGGCTGCCCTGGATTTCTCTGGTCAGCCAGGGAAGCCTCCTGGCCCCTTTCCCCCTTTTTCCTCGCATGGGGATCGTCTCGCTTTGTGCCCGAAGGATCATTTCCTTAAGGCACAGCCACCCTTCCTGGGCTCCCATCACTTCAAAACTCCTACTCTGCAGTGCGTCCTCGACTAATCGCCTGAGTTCATTGAAATCAGCTTTCCTAAAGTCTAGCACTTTCACCCTACTAGTTACCTTACCCACTCGACGTCTTATGGTGAATTCTATTATTAGGTGATCACTGTCCCCCAGTTGGCTACCGATCTGTAGGTCCCCTACCATGTCATCCCCCGTTGCCAATACCGGATCCAGTAAGGCATGCCCCCTGGTAGGACCGTGTACCTCCTGCGTCAGGTGGAGGTCCTGTACGCAGGATAGGAACCTATGTGAACGGTGGGACTTTGCTGTCTGTGACTCCCAGCAGATGTCCGGGTAGTTTAGGTCCCCCATGACTACTGCCTCTTTAGCTTTTATGGTCCTCAGACTTAGTTCAAGCTCAGCCTTTCCCAGGCCTGAGCCAGCTGGTTTACAGCTCAGCTCTTCTGGAGGCACCAGGTGGAGGGGATCAGGCAGATGCACCAGGGTCTCTGAGTACTCTGCTTTTTTTGAGGGTCCGGGAGCTTTTACGGGCCTTTTTGGAAAGGCAGGGCAGACTGGCACCTTCCAGCCTAACCAAAGGAGATGGAGCACAGGCTTTCGGCAGACGAAGGGGCACACAAACAGCAGAGCATAAGAAGGAAAGAGAAATTCGAGTACAGAAGAGAAGGGGGAAGGGGCAGCGCTGGGAGGGAAAGGCCCACGTACGCTCTTGAGGCCGTGTCCCTTCAGCTCTCCCTGCCCTCGCAGGCTCCGGTGTCTGCCTGTACGCAGGATGGCAGCTTTTCTCCCTCACCAACTCCTGCTTTAGGAGCTGCTAAGAAGCTCATGGAAAAGCAAAGGCTCTGCCCAGCCCTTCCAGCTGCCCGGAGCACCCTCATCAGCCTCTGTGGTGGAGCAGGGTGCCGGGGGCCTTCTGCGTGGCTACGATGCCAAGGTGCGCTCTCTCCTCCGACCAGCTTGGAGTTGGCTTGGTCTAGTCGAAGCTTTTCTCCTCCTTGCTGTGTGCACAGCGAGGCGTGGGGCTGCCCTGGGTGCCTCCACCCTTCAAGGAAACGGGGGAAGCTTCAGACCAGATCCTGCACTCCTCAGCCTTTCCCAAGTGGCCCGGTGTCTTCAGCAGCCCCTTCTGTGAAAGCCAGGGTTTGGGGCACAATCAGAGGCACGGGGGGGTTGGGCTCCTGGACCTGTCAGTCACCCCTGCTCTCTGTTAAGTGCCCCATGTCCAGTTTGGCTCTCCTTGCCCCTGAGGTTTTACCTCCTTGTGGGATCCAGGGGCAGGACCCCAGGCTGGTCATGTACCGGGGACCTGCCATTTAGCAATCCTGTCAGTCATTGATCCCTGCCAGGCAGGGGGCAGGCACTGGACCTGTGTGCCCCACTCCCTCATTCTCAGGAGAGCCATTCTCGAAGCCCCAAATCCTTTTGCTCTACCCTGTTAGATTAACCCAGCTCTGCAGCCCCTAGGGGGGTTATCTAGGGGTGTCAGCATTGGTATCACGAGAGCAACATCCCTGAGTTGCACCCTGGTGCCGCCTTCCCTGGGTTTCTACAGCCCCACACCATCCGTTGTTTGAAAACCAACGCTGCTTTGAATGTTTGATGTGAAGGTTTCTATTCCTAGAAATGAGGCTAACGCAGCTAGTATGCACATGCAATGCTGCTGCGTTGCATAGCGCAGAAACGTTCCTGACTCTGGGTACCACGCAACACAAAGCATGCAGCGTAGTCAAGCTAAAGCTACTGCAATAGCTAAAGCATTTGCATTTCCTGGCTCTGCTTCATTTTGACAGCGCAGTATCAACAGGGGCTTTTGCTGCTTTTATGAGCAAAATCCTCTGGGGTCTTCTCTGATGAGAGGTGCCAGAGAGATGTAGTTTTAGCCTTCTGCTGAGGATCTGTTGAGATGCTGGTTGAACAGCTGTGTGTGAGCAACAGAGCAGCGGTGTCTTGAGTGAAGGGAAATCCATTTTGTTTTGAGCTGATGGAAAACCATGTGTATTCAGAAAGCAGGCAGCTTTGGTGATCCCAACCCAGCAGGACCCAGCTGGATAAAAATAGCCTGGTTATCAGGTACTTCTCAAGGCACTTGACAGGGGAGCTCTGACAGCCATCGGTGCTGGGTCCTGCAAGTGGGGAGACAGCGCTGTGATGTGCCTCAGCTCTAGGGAGGCTTGTGAAGCCATCTCCTAGGGTGCTGCCTTGGCAAAATGGCCTTGGCAAAACGGTTGTTGGGTGGATGCACAGCTTGGACCAGCTTGTTCAGAGTCGTGCTTTAAGTTGCACGGGGAAGAGGTATCGAGTGGGGACCCCTGGGTCCAGCATGGCTCAGTATCTCCATCAGTCACTCGGAGGATGGGATCCGGAGCTAGGTGGGAGGGCAGGCCCCTTGGAAGGCAAGGACGGGTGGGATTCAGAGCAACCTCGGTCAGCTGGGAAAACGGCCTGGAATAAATTGGTTATATTTCCATAAAGACAGGTGCGAATGCAGCACTGAGGGCAGGGCAGACGTGTGCTGGGGAACAACTGGCTGGGCCGCAGGGATGGGCCCAGGGTTCAGACTGAATTGCAAGCCAACAGCATGCCGGGAGGGCAGCCCGTGCAGCCCCTGAGGGGTTAAACTGCAGCCCCTGGACTCCTGGCCTGGGTGCCGCTAGCCCTGTGCTCAGAGTCCTCCAGCTTCCCTGGGCTGCGCGCCTTTCCCCCCCACCCCCGTGTTTTTGCTTTGATCTCACACTGAATAATGCTGCTCTGATCTTATGCCGAATACCCCTGTGGCATATTAGGAAAGCATCTGGGGGTAGGGCAGAGCAATGCAGCCCCAGGGGCTGAGGGAGACTGTGACCTGGGGACCACGCCAATGCACTGCAGCAGGAGTCGCCCACCCTGCAGCAGGGGTGGGAAACGCACGATGCAGGGGGCCTCTGTGAGCTGCAGCACACTTACCTGCCATGTCAGGAGCCCGTGCAGCACCAGGGGCTCGTGTGATGTGTCGGGAGCCTGTGCAGGGCTTGCATGGCACAGTGTGTGGCTGGGGTGGCCTGCACTCCCCCTGTGCTAGCACCACTGTGGTTTGCAACCCAGGGCAGGGATTCTTGCACTCTATGCAGCATGGGCGAGGCCTCCCTGGAGCACTGTCGCAGCACGTCAGGGAAGACACAGACAGGTTGGAAAGAGTCCAGGGGAGAACCCTAAGAATGATGGGAGGCTGGAAAAGGCGATGTGAGGAGAGGCTGGAAGACCGTGGGTTATTTATTCTGAAGAAAGGAAGACTGAGGGGGGTTATGGCGAGTCTCCAATGCAGAGAGGGTGGCTATAGACCGTTCCCTGTGCCAGTTGGGAACAGGACAAGAAGCGATGCACCTAAATTGCATCAAGAGAGATTGAGGTTGAGGATTAGGAAGCACTTTCAGGACTGGAATAGATCTGCAGCTCCATCCTCGGCTGTTGTTAGCGGTGGGTTAGGCAAGCCTCTGTCTGGGCTGGCCTCTGTGACCAAATCCCTGGGAGAGCTGAGCTGTGTGAGTGACGATCGTCCCTGTATCGCCTACGGGCAGCAGCTGCCGAGAGGAGAGCTGTTCTGTGAGCGTGAGCATGGCCCTCTCCCCAGTCCAAAGCCAAGGCCCCAGTCGGAGGCCAGGAGGGCTGAGCAGCAGAGAAGGCCACTGCAAATATCCCAACTGCCTCCCTGCTGTGCTTATTTTGGGGCCTCGCTCTTTACTTTAGCTCTCGAGCCCCCTTCCTGGTGCGGGCATGAAGGAGAAGGGGACTCCAGGGAAATGCAGGGAGGGGGGTGCTGCTCCCCAGGGCAGCCCCTAGCACCACGCTGCGGTTCCTGTGCCTAGGCCGTGCCCCGCACTTGGAAGACTTGCTCACAGAGAGGCAACAAGGATCACGGCAGAGATGCAGTGCTTGCCCCAGAGTCAAACAAGCCTGGGGGAGGTTGCTTCACCCCAGGGAGCAGGATGGGGAGGTCCCTTTCCACCCATTGCAAAGTGACTCATCAAAAGGCTGGGGACTTTCTGTTGTCCTAACATTGTGGTTTCAGGGGGCCTGGCAGCATGTTGTGTGGGTGCATGCCCTTGGACACCTGCCACCCCAGCGGGAACTGCCTTTCCCAGCTGTCTCTTTGTGGTGCCGAGAGCCCTGGCCCTGGCTCAGGCATGCTGGCTGCTTTGCAGGTGTGGAAGCAGAAGTGGCAGAAGAAAGGAGAAGCATTTGGCGGAGGCAGCAGGGGATTGGACAAGAGCGCAGACACCTGCTTCAGATGCGGCGGGACCGGGCACTGGGCCTCGGAGTGCAGAGGCAGAGGTGAGGTGCTCTGCCCCCAGCCTGCTGGGTACTGGACTTGCTCAGGGAAGCGGACGGCTAGAGATCAGGTTCAGAAGACCTCCTTGGTGACCCTGCATGGGGGGAGAGTGAGGGGCTGTCTGGAGAGAGGGGGTCCTGGAGTTGTACCTTGTGCAAAGAGGTTTTGTTGTCCAGGTCTGCCTCGTTTCCTTGTCAGGCAGGATGAATCTCAGCCCCGTGCTGCACAGCCACGGCCGTGACAGAGCTCAGCGCGGGGCTGGGCAGTGGTCCCCAAGCTAGGAACAGTCAAAGGAAAAGTGGAGGAAGGGATATAAAACCACCTGCTTCTTGGTGCTTTCCAGTCTCCAGCCGGGCAAGACTGGGCTGAGAGTAATGGTCCTCTCATCTAACTACCTCTGTGGCATCAGGTGGACAGGACGGGGCTGGCTGGCCCCATGGACCTAGTTCAAACAAAGCTATTAGTCCTACCTGACCAGACCAGCAGGAGTAGCCTGAATACAGCCCTGTCTTGCCTGACTCGGCAAAGCAAGATTATCGGAGCCCGAAGACAGCCCAGTCCATGGCTCTCGCGGTGCAGGCATGGGGCTAGCTCTTGGGCTGGAGAGTCTCCTCCTGTCCTCAGCCCACCTGGCCTTTCCCCTTCCATCCCCTGGGTTGTAGCCTTGAAGATGTACAAGGCACTGAGCATTGTCCCTAAGCCTTGCAGCCTGGAGTGCAGGGTCAGGAGAGCCAGCCCTGGGCCTTGCCCATGCCATTGGCAGGGACAGATGCGCCCTGTCAACCCGTCAACAGCAGTCTGCGCAGGTGCTTTTGCAGTGCATGGAGCAGTCAGGCCGGTGTAGCTGTCTGCAGCGGGGGCTGCGGGTAGCATGAGGGGCTGCAGCTGATGGGACCAAGAGGCCCCGTCTTTTAGCCCCCTGCTCTAGAACTGCCCTCCCTGCAGGCCTGTGACCCTCCCTCGCCAACAGGTCCAGCTTCCCTCGCTGCCCCGCCACTGGAGGAGAATGAGGACCCTATGGAAGAGGAGGCCCTGTTGCCCACCCTGGAGGAGGTGGCCCGGCTGACCAACACTGCCTACAGCAAGAGCTCAGGTGAGGCCAGCAGCATGCTTGTGCTGCTCTCAGGCTGCCTTGCTCTCCCGTACTGCCCGGAGGCTGGTGGTGGGCACCAGGGCCATCGGTGACTTGAAGGCTGCATAACTATGGGTAGTTTTTGCATCTGCAGCTCTGGAAAGAAACCTGAGACAGTAGCTTATTTCTGTTTGGTTGCATTGCTGTTGCATGGTGAGGTCTCAATCCATGGCTGGGGATCTCTACAAACTCCATGCAAAGGGAACCCCGAGATTGCTCAGTCTGAGCAGGATGGGTGCAGGGAAAGTCCTGGGTGGCGATGTAACCTGGCAGAGGAATGCAGGGAACAGCCCTAGATGTCTTTGCTGGTCCTTAGAGCTGCCCCTTAACCAGCCTGGTGGGAGCTCTGGAGTAGACTCGCAGAGCAGTGCGGCTGGCAGGAAGCTGCAGAGGTCTCATCCAGTCCAACCCCTGCCCCGCTGTGTCTGGGCTTTCCTCGGGGCTGCATCGCCACGCACCTCTTCTGCTTCATCCCAGCAGGGAGCCAGGGGGGAGCCCAGAGCCCTGGGGAAGAGGAGCCCGAGCTGTACGTGCACAGGCCGGTGTACGAGCCACCTGCTCCCCCTGCAGCCATGGAGCCTCTCTACGGCCTGGGCCCAGATGGGCAGCTGAGAGGTAAGAGCCCAGGCAGGCACTTGCTTCTGTCCCGGTTGGCAATGATTGATCGCCTGCCAGCTCACGTTCTCTACTGAGCCCATTGTGCCCACCTGGCCAGGTGTCCTGCTACCCCCAGAGTCAGATCTGCTGGGTAAAGGGCTACGGACTGCATTGGGGGGACAGCTCAGCCTCTTCTAGATCTTGTCTTGCCTGTCTTTGGGCATAAGAGCTGACTCGGAGACCCCTGTTTTGAGCTCTGGTCCCTCCCAGAGCTGCAGGAGAACCCAGGAGTCCGACTCCAGGCTCTCTTGCTATCTCTGCTTGAGATGCATCACAACCCCCGCAGCCTCCTTCCCTGTGCTGACTTGACGGTGTTCCCATGTCCTGCAGAGACCCCCCAAGAGGTGTTCGAAACCCTAGCTGAGTTCGGCTACAGCTCCTTCCGCCCAGGCCAGGAGGTGGCTGTCATGAGGATCCTCTCTGGTAAGCGGTCTTTCAAGGCCTCCCCTGAGCCCCTCCTGCTCCTCACGCCCATCCCAGCCAGAAGCTGTTCATGGCAGCGGGTGGCTTGCGACAGCTTAGCAGACATGGGGCTTGAAAGCACTGGGAGCAGATGGAGAGGGGTGACACAGCCCCCAGCTCTCCCCATGTCTCTGTGCCCTTGTTCCCTCGCGGAGTCCCCAGGTCCCAGCTCCTGATCCTGCTGCTGTCTCCACCCCAGGCCTGTCCACGCTAGTTGTCCTGTCCACGGGCATGGGGAAGTCTCTGTGCTACCAGCTTCCCGCCTACCTGTATGGCAAGCGGTCTCGGAGCATCACCTTGGTCATCTCCCCACTCGTGTCCCTCATGGATGACCAGGTGAGTGGGAACATGGGGCCTCGCCACCCCAGATGCCTTCCCCCAGGCAGCCTGCCACATCCAGGCCCTGCAGAACAGTCCTGCGGGGCCAGGACCCTGGAGTCTACAATCCCAGAGCCGTGGGGCTGGCAGGGAGCTGCAGGGTCGCGTCCAGTCCCAGCCCTGCCTGAGGCAGGATCAGCCCCATCCAAACGAGCCCAGACAAACCCCGCGTCCAACCTCAGAGCCGCACAACGCAGTCGTCCCCTGACACAGCCCCAGGCATCGTCCCATCCCAAGTCTGTTCTGGGGGACGTGGCTCCTGGCTCCCCCCACGTCTCTGTGCCTCTCTCCTCTGCCAAGTCCCTGACTTGCCTCTCCTGGGCTCTGCTGCTCTTCTTCTCCAAGTCACGTTCCCAGCAGGGAGGGGAGGGAGGACAGTGCTGGGCTTTCACCCCTTCACCCAAGCCCTGACCTTTCTGACCCAGCAAGGGCTGGACCAGAGCACCTGAGCACTGGCTGCTTCTACAGCCAGGCCCCAAACCGGGAAGCTGCTGACCTCAGTTCACTTGACGCGCACGTAACGAGCTTTGCTTTTAGGTCTCGGGGCTTCCTGCATGCCTGAAGGCTGTGTGCATTCACTCCAACATGTCCAAGAGCCAGAGAGAGGCTGCAATGGAGCGGGTTCCAACATGTCCAAGAGCCAGAGAGAGGCTGCCCTGGAGCGGGGGAGCAGGGCTGCAGCCTTCCTCTGGGCTGTGCATCTGTCTGCCTTCGGACCCCTCTGCCCCCTTGAAGGGTGTCAGGACCCTGGGGCTGTAGGGCTGGGATTGTGGGCAGTGCCCGCTCTGAGCCTGGCACTGGCTGAGCATATTGAGGGCTCCCCTCAATGCTGGATCTCACTCTGTGGGCATCAGTTGCTCCCCCACTGCCCAAGGGGACTCATGCACAGCTGGCTGGGCCCTGGGCTGTTGTGTCCTTGCTCACAGCTTGTCTCTACAGCAGCAACTGCAGACTGGGGCCTCGGGCCTGAACCTGTACCAGGAGGGCCCTTTGTGCTTTCACAGCACTCCCTCTCCCGTTCTGGGCTCACTTGGACAGGGCCGGGAGCTCCAGGTGGGAGTTTGTACGTGTGAGAGCCTCACTGCCCCATTAATGTGTTTGGGAGCAGAAGACTTTGTATCCAGAGGCTCTGAGCCCCTCTATTTGCCCCCCCAGCCCCAGAGGTGTCTTTGGGAGGGTGTCCACATGGGTTCCTGCCCGCCACAGGGTTCACGGGGTGCTGTATGCTTGCAGGTGAAGGCAGGGAAGGTGCACGTCCTCCTACTCTCCCCCGAGGCCCTGGTGGGCGGAGGCGGGGCGGGCTCCACCTGCCTGCCCTCAGCCGACCAGCTGCCCCCTGTGGCGTTCGCCTGCATTGACGAAGCCCACTGCGTCTCCGAGTGGTCCCACAACTTCCGCCCCTGCTACCTGCGGCTCTGCAAGGTGAAGGATGATGGCGAGGGGGGGGAAGGATGCTTATACCTGTGCTGGAGAGGCTCTACCCTGCTCCATTGGATGAGCCAGGGGGGTACCATGCCATAGAGCTGCCACAGGGGAGAGGGGATGGTGTCACAGGCTCCTGGCAGGGTCTCCAGGGTGTGGGGATGAAGCCCAGACGTGGGCAGGTGGCTATGAGCTGTGGGCAGGCTGGTGCTGTCTGGACGAGCTAATGGGGATGGGGACGGGGTGCATCACGGGTGCCAGTCCCAACCCGGCCACCGGCACCTAACGCCTCCTCCTGTGGCAGGTTCTCCGGGAGCGCCTGGGTGTGCGCTGCCTGCTGGGCCTCACCGCCACGGCCACGCTGGCCACAGCACGGGACGTGGCCCATCACTTGGGCATCCAGGAGGAGGAGGGGATTGCCGTGCGCTCGGCCGCTGTGCCCCCAAACCTGCACCTCTCCGTCTCCATGGACAGGGACAAGGACCAGGTAGGGCAGGAGCCGGGGCTCTGTTGGCCACTTCTTCCCCCCTCGTATAAGGCCTATCTGATCTGTAGGGCAGCCTAACGTCCCAACATTGTGGGGGCTGACACAGGCACTGGGGTTTCACAGCCCTGGAATGGGTGCATTGCCATGAGGCACCTGGACCCGGAGGCTCACCCCCCCTACCCTCTGTTTTCAGGCCCTGGTCTCCCTGCTGCAGGGGCAGCCGTTCGCATGCCTGGACTCAGTGATTGTGTACTGCACACGCCGCGAGGAGACGGCCCGCGTCGCCACGCTGCTCCGCATCTGCCTCCAGGGCACGGTGCTGCGCGGGTCCGTGGCCACGGTGGAGCAGGAGGAGGACGGCACGAGGCCGAAGAAGGGCGCGAAGGGTAAAGGAGGGGTGGCTGGGGCCTCTAGCACTGGGTGGGGGTGCGGGGACCATGTTACAGCCTTCTTGCTGGAACTAGGCAAAGCTGTGGTGTGAGCAGCTCTGTCCTAGAGCAAAAGCTACCAGCACCTGGCTAGAGGGGGGCCTTGTGACTCTGCAGACCCCTGGGCCTTTAGCTGTAGCCCTGGGCACCCTGGCACCGTTCAGGCTTTTCCCAGCTGAGGACAGGTGAGCATGTTCTGCAGGGACCGCTCTGTGGTACCCATGGGGGACAGGGGACAGGAGAGCCTTGCTCCAGTCCAGCTCCTAGGGCTCTATGCTATGCCACAGCAAGACTCCATGGAGCCAAGGCCTGAAGCCTGCTCACCCCCTGCGGCTTCCCTGAGCGGTGCCGTGCAGAGCCAGGAGCACCCAGCGCTAGCAATGACAGGAACGAAGTGCTACTAACACCCCTTTCCTGCTCTCTCCCACAGCCAAGAATGCTCGGCGGCCGCTGAAGTGGGTGGCCGATTCCTACCACGGCGGCATGTCACCCGCCGAGCGCCGCCGTGTCCAGAACAACTTCATGCGCGGGGAGCTGCGGGTCGTGGTGGCCACGGTGGCCTTCGGCATGGGGCTGGACAAGCCCGACGTGCGTGGCGTGGTGCACTACAACATGCCCAAGACCTTTGAGAGCTACGTGCAGGAGATCGGGCGCGCGGGCCGGGATGGCCAGCCTGCCCACTGCCACCTCTTCTTGGACCCCGAGGTGAGGGGGGCAGTGCCATCTGGTTGCCCACATCCTGACTGGGCCTTGCTGGGAGGGGGGTGGTTTTGGGGGGTCCCTGGAGCTTTCCCCCGCACCCTGTGAGCCCAGTGGGAGCAGGGCAGTGCCACCGTGGGCTGGGGAGGCCTGTGCTGCTGGAGCCCGTCTCAGGGTGGGTCTAGCCTAGAGATCACAGGAAACTGCAGGCAATGCAGGTTCCCTGCCAGCTCCAACAGGCAGGCTCCTCCCTGCCCAGCCCATCTGCCCACATCTGGGGTGAGACCAGGCCATTAGCCTGGCGTTGCCCTCTACCCACCTGAGGCCCCACGTCTCATGGGGTGGGTTAAATCCAGTCCTGGCAATGGACCCAGCAAGACTCCATGGAGCCAAGGCCTGAAGCCTGCCCCTCCCCTGCAGCCCCTTGGTCCCTAGGCACTGACTGGCCCCCAGAGCCAGTGACCCCATGCCAGAGGGCAGCTTGGGTTGGGGTCTTGCCTGTGTTCACTCTGGCCCCTGCCCCCTTCTCCTTCGCAGGGCAGGGACCTGCATGAGCTGCGGCGGCACATCTATGCCGACACAGTTGATTTTTTCACTATCAAGAAACTTGTGCAGAAAGTTTTCCCTCCCTGCAGATGCCGGGAGCACCGCCAGCAGCATGACCTCGGCAAGGTGAGGATTGGGCCCCGGCAGCCAGCAGAGTCCAAGCCGGGCCTGCTGGTCCCTGGCAGCCAAGGGGTGGTCCTGTGCAGGGCTATGTGTGCTGTCGTGAAGGGGGAGCAGATAAGGCTGCCACGTCACAGGCACCAGGCTGTAGGTCCCTGCCCTTTCCTGGTACCCCGTGCCCTGAAGGACTTGTGGTGTTCCCTGCAGGGCGAGGAGGTGTCCGACGTGGAGATGCTGGAGCTTGAGATGCTAGAGCAGCCCCGAGTATGCTACAGGCACCTGCGCGCCATCCCCATCCAGCAGACCGTGGAGTCCCTGGACATGCGAGAGGAGGGTGAGGCTTGGGCTGGGCAGGTGGGAGAAGGCTGGGCCAGACCCCTGCACCGTGGGGGGTCGGATGTCTCGGGCATCGGGTCCTGAGCCAGCTGGGGCACGGGTGCAGTGTGGCCGGCCCAGCCAGTGTCCCCCTTGGCACACCAGGGCCACAGCGCATCCTGCTCTCAGGCCAGGGCCAGGGCAGGTCCCCGGCAAGGCACGTCCCAGCTTTTGCCTCTCCTCTCCTCTTCCCCCCTCGCAGCCATCGAGACCCTGCTGTGCTACCTGGAGCTGCACCCCCAGCGCTGGGTGGAGGTGCTGCACCCCACCCTCTCCTCCTGCCGCCTGCTGTGCTACGGGGGCCCCCAGCAGCTCCGCGCCGTCGCCAGGAGGTGAGTGCTGCCATGGGCTGGGGGAATGGCGCTGGGACACCCCCGGCTCTCGGCTGCTGGGCCCAGAGGTGCTGGCTGAGCTGCTGCCTTGGCTGCCCAGTGCCGCCTCGCCGGGGGGATTATTGAACCCAAAGAGGCGGACAGATTGCACCCCTCACTGTGTGTGGGGCCTGGCAGCTGCCTGGGCAGGTCCTTGGTGCCAGAGGCAAAGGATAGCAGGGTAGAGACCCAGCTCCTCGGTGGGACCCGGGGGTGGGGGGGATTTCAGCCCATCCAGGTGGGAGCAGAGGCGTTGTGTGGTCTCGCAGCACCCCCTGCCGGCCAGCCCGGGAACATCACCGGCTTGATCCTACCTGGCCCCTGTTTGGGCTCCAGCAGCTGCCTCAAGGGGTCGGGGGGTCATGGGACACGGC